GTACCGGTAAAGTAACTTAAATAAGCATCAGTACTGCATAAAAGGTACCAAGAAGGTATTCATGCGATTACTTTTTAATATTTTCCTCAAGGCTTTGAACTTTCTTGATTGGAGGAAGGGTAAGGAGGGGGCCAACCCCCCCCACACACACACACCCTCCCTTTCGTCTCCCCGGACATCCAGAAGTCATGATGTAACCCTTTTCTGTTCACATCCTTTGCCAACAATTTCTGTCCGTTTGTCTAACTCCCTGTCCACTTATAACCTCTTGATGTTCACATTTTGCTGCACTTGTTGAACGCGAAAATGAATTCTGACTATTGACATTGGCTATCACTATCACAAACTTTGTACACTAGAAATACAAACAAGGTTACAGCTTGAACTTAAAGTCAATGAACATTTTTTTTTACAATAGTCATACCCATACCAACTATTACCATTGAGGAAAATCACAAGGGAGAAACGAGCAGAGAGTCAAGTCGAGGTTTAGGCTACTTTGTACACAGCATTTTTCACCAGCTGATTTATGCTGGTTTGAACTCTAGTTTGGCATTTTTTTCCATCAATTTTGGCTACCTTGAAGTGAAACATGGTTAAGAAATAGAAGTCAGTTGTTATATTTGGGTTTTAAGGTTTGTTTGTTGTAAGTTTAAGGGGTACAGTAGGTAGGCATGATTACATAATATTTCTTCTTTCCAGCGTTTTATTCCAAATATAGATCTTTCTTTTTTTTTTGTTACCCATTGTATTGTTCTGTGCAAAAAAAATTTTTTAAAGAAAATCTCAACCGTAATTGCACAGCTTTAAGTTATGGAAAAATTCATAGGGGCGTGCTCCACTGAAACCTCTAGATATTTTTTTCTCTTGAGATCGTGCATGTCCCCCTGAAACCTCCCAGATTACTTTAACTAATGGGTGTACATCACCTTAATGGGTTCTGAGTGTAAAGCAACAGTTGGAACATACACGGTTTAATAGAACTTCTCAAAAGGATGGCTATCCTGAAATTAGACAAACATAGATCATACTCCCGAATTTCCCGAATCTCAATAAAACACTGAAAAGTACAAATCAGTAGGCCCGAGGCCCTGTCCAATTCCAGCAAATAAAATGTGCAGATCTAACAGATTTTCGTGCTGTCACACTCATTTGAAACAATGCCAAACACATACACATTTTCACATTACCAAAGTGGCACCTTTGATGTTGTCATGTCAATGAAATGAAAACATCTTGCAAGTCAAGGCATGCCATTTTCTTTAGTTAAATAGTCCTATTGGTATATATATACTTACTGTTGGTATAAATCTGCGTATGTCTCATCAACATACTCAACTCAATCACTTTTACTTTTGTATCATTCAAGAGTCAACGATGAATACTTATGAATTATTAAATTATGAATGACAGACAAATTATTATACATAAATATTTTACAAATAGGCCTAATGATAGGCTGATAGGCCGCTTATGATTACATTGTACTAGGGATGTGTACGCTTCCCCAGCACCGGACTGTGAGATGCGTACGGTACGCTTCAACTTCAACAACACTGCACTGTTGTTAGTGTTAGTTTTAGGGACGCATGCATTATGCATAGGCCTACGGTTTCACAGCTTTACGGAATTATAGACCCGTATTTGTGACATCGACGTCATAGTAGTACCAAATTCTCTACAGTTAGATCTACCAAGATGTTTCAATTACCCTAGATCTATCTCGCGTCCGGGGCACCACATTTGTCTTATTAGCGCGTGACGGCCCACGATAAGAGTGTAAGTTGAATGTGTGCAATTATGTCGGCAGGCAGAGAGAGAGAGAGAGAGAGAGA